GACATAACAATCACCATCACAGGACTTGGTGAATCCTGAATACTGAATTGGCACTGATATAGAGCGGAATACCATGTTTAACACTTTTGTATCTGGAAGTCACTGATGACAATCACAACCAGTGAGCCTACTGTAGGCACAATGATAATTGGAATAACTTTTACTGAGTGTAATAAAAGAGGTTTACAAGCATATGCCTGATGGTTATACTGCCATGACACTGCTTCAATAAAAATAAAATGAAATACAAATGTGTTTAACAAGGCCCAATGCAAAGCTGGTAGATAACCCTTTCACTCATTCTTGCGGGGGGGGCGGGGTTTTCACAAATTTTAAAAAAATGTTTGAGTCTGGAGGTTAGTTCATATTCCTAAACATTAATCATTTCTGAAATCTGAGAATAAAATAGTGGCAGTTCAAAAATTTTTTATGTCACTTGATATTTGCAAAATGGTTTAGCAAGTGCAAATGGTCAGTCAAAAGTAAATTAAAGTTGATTTTAGCACACACAAATGCAATATATTGCCCAAATATAAAAGATGAAGCTGGGCTGAGTAAATGGATACCCAACATGTCAAGCTTAAAAATTGTTCATCCAAATTCAGTACCCTATATTTTAAACACTTTAGAAGGCCCTACGGGTCATCACTTCAGAGCTAATCATGAATAGTGGCCCTAGAATTATTGCTCATACTCTGGCATGCATGGCTATATGTAACATGTAGTACAAGTAGCGTTTTTTTACATAGGCACCCCTAAAGGATGTGTTTATGTTTGCGTGTATGTGCAGACAAGATGGGCTCAAAATCTTTTTGGGGGGATTTTCAAATGCTTGGATATAACTTTATTTTTTGAAACTTTTTTTGTACTAAAACTTTATCTCATATAGGGGACAAACATTTCCCATGTGACATAAGCTGCTTGTGACAGGTTCTCTTTAATGAGATTTCACACCTTTATTGTGATGTCTCACCTGCCTTCCATTGAAGCTAGTGGAGCTCAGATCTCACACTTCATTAGCTTCTTTTCTGGCCACAGGGGCCAGGGAAGGTGACATCAGAAACTGGAAGTGATATTCTTTCATGGGTTATTTTTAGCTGGGGGGGGGGGGGGAGGGACAAGTGAACAGATGTTTTCCCACCTCCCTCCCCTTCACCCAGTGACACCCACCATGCTGGTCTGGGGCCTGCAGGTGGGACAATGGAGCCCTGGTTGCATGGCAGGGGAGAGGCACAGTTCTGAGAGGCAGAAAGATGGATTGGACAGCTGTACAGCTGCTAGATTGCTTTTTATCAGTGTGAGTAAAACCCCCTGGAGCCACAGAGGTATGACATATGGCGGTGGCAGGTAAGGGTTAAACCTATGTCCAGGAGAATGGAGGGCATAGGCAAGGCTACAGTGGACTACAGTAGACTAATTCCAATAACCTCACCATACACCTGAAATTTCACCCCGAACATACAAGTTTCCAGTGCTGCCAGAGTGCCAACCTTGAACAAATCAGCGCAATAAAAAGAATGAAAAGGCTTCAAAAGCGAGGGGCTTTAATAAGAAAAGTAATAGCAAGAAGAAAAGAGAAAGAGAAGGGAAGCTTGCCCATTCTCCCCCGACCACATTCTTGAGTTCATGCAGGGATTGTATAAAGTCTATCCACTGATTCCAGATCCTCTCTAACCTCGCCTGTTTGTCCTGTGGGATGATCCCTAATTTTTCATTGAGCATCATTCAGGATATACTACTCCTATTCATTGAAACATCAGCTACAGGCAATTCCTTGGTTTAAGCCAGTCATATATGCATAAAATTTTAGCCAGTTCAGCAGGGACTGGCCGAGATTCGATCCATCTATGGGCAGGCTGGTTTTACTGAAGTCGATCCACTGATCAACTTCAGTACAACCAGCCTTTTTTTTTTTCGATCACTGCCAGTGGCTATAGCTACTAGCGGTAATCATTGTGTTCTGCTGGCAGGGGATTCTCCTGCGGCAGAGCATAATAGCACTTGACTGTGTTGATGCGGGAATCAAGTGATTTTATTTCCTGCAGCCCATGGTTGAAAGAAAATTTCATCATCTATGGCTTGTAGACATGTGTGTTTAGTTTCATTACGGATTGATTTTGGGATGAAAATTTGATTATTAGAAATTCAGATGTATATGAATCTGTGAATGTACATGGACGAATCCGAAAAAAGTTATATAATGAAATTAACGAATGCAATCATTTCTTTTGTGTAGTTCGGGCACATGGAAAGATTAATTCAATTTTCAAATTTTGTTTGATAATTCGGATTCAAATACTGGAAATTTATGATTTAAATTGAAATTGTCACAGTCATTCATTTCAGTTCCATAATCTAACACACTTCTTAGGTTTGAAAATTTCTTGGCCGCTGAATCTTGCATTATTTACTCTGTTGCGTCCAAAAATATTGAATCCTTCCAAACAGTTTTAATATATACTGTAAATAACAAATCCACCCGAAATATTGAATTTGAAAGCTAATATATAGCAATCTTTTGAAAAACTGCAACATTTTTCGAATCCAACCAGACCGATGAATATGTTATTCTATATGATAAAACAAAATTCTCCAATGATCGAATGCACTCAAAACTAAAGAAAAATTGCCGGTGCACACATGTTTAATGGCTTTCTTCAGCAATGGACATTACTGCTACTTCTACTACTAAAATATCCAGTAGATCATACTGTTAAGAGTTACAAACACACTATATCTAAAGATGTACTTAATGTAAATGGAAACAATACAAATAGTATCAAGAACATTGTTTTAATGTTTCTATTTTAGGTCTCAACAATTCACTCAAAAGGATACTTTCTGCCAGAACAATTTCTCAGCAGTCCTAGGCATTGTCATATGGGATGGGTTGTTTGTAGCTACCTAATTGAAGACTTTGACATATTCTATTGTGTAGCCACTTTTGAAGGGCTCAAAGCACAACTATAGAAGGAAAACCTGACACCAAGAGATCAAAAGAGTTAGGCAATGTCAAATCAGGTGGCTAAAGTCCATGTTTGTAGTTTTACATTTATGGCATTTCACTTGAATTAAATGACTCGTTTTATATAATCAAACAGATGTTAAAAATGCTTGAAGATGGAGTATAAAGAGCTATATTAGTTGGTGACATACAGTCATAGAAAAACCCAGGGTTGTGCTCCCATATTCTTCCTAGGACCTGACATGTTAGCCTCGCTTCTTTTCTAGAGTAGATTGGTAGCTGCCTGACCTATTTTTACATTTAGAAGATGGAAGCATGTTAATCTTTATGTAATTCACATGGCCACCACTAGAGAAAACCTGAGAGTACTTTTCATGGAGGGTAACCATGAAGTAAGTTGCAGTTCTCTTACAAAAGCATTGCCCCTTATCTCAGTGTAGCGGTCATTCCTGGAGGGGCCACTGAAAATGACAGTTTTTTTTTCAAAGTAGTACAGAGATTGCCTGCCACAGATAGCACCATGCACACCAACAATACAGGCTCAGTCTAGGGGAAGTCTTTTTAGAATTTATTGCTGAAGAACTTGAACAGGAGATGAGTTTAAGAGTCACAGGATACTCTAAAATGATAATAGCAATCAATAGGAGGATAGTCTTCACATTTAATAACTGCAGTCACACATGAAAGTCCCAAATTAGGTAGTACTCACAGCGTCCCTCAGCTTCCAACGGGGGATTCTCAGTGAAGGAGATAACAGATCTCCATACCAGGACTTCTGGAAGTGCCTCCAGCGTTAATCCTATACCAGTCTTCCCTGCTAAGGCCCAGACTGTAGCAAAAATCGTCTTTGCAATCTTCTCCAGTCCCTCAGCCTAACTCTTGCTGAGGCCTAGACCGCAATTCTTGACTCAGTAAAGTTGCCTCAAGGGGCAGCAGCCCCAAAAGAACTGGAACCTTCCCTGAAAAGGAAAGAACACTCTGGAAAAGTCTCCCAAACATTTATCAACTACAAGTCATCTTCTAGACGCCTCCTTCCAGAGATTGACTGGGGCATGATAAATATTCATAGAGACCATTTGACTCTCCCTGTCTTATATTCTGGAAGCTTCTTCCAGAGGCAGGTGAGATAAATCAAATAATCATCTAGGAACCCTGACTAGACACAACAGTAGATCACTGACTGCAGTGAAGCCAAGACTAAATTTAGCCTAGCAGCCTAACTAGAGGAGGGCACACTACATCAGTTTTGCTAAGGACAGATAGATTTTCACAACTTTACTGGAACAATTTTCTTTGGACAGATGACATAATGAAAGTGTTTCATTGAGATTACTACCATAAAGAGAGCAGTTACTAATTATAAAGATTCATACAGATTTTCAATCTCTGACTTTATCTGACAATTAGTTCAATATGTGGTCCAATAAAATTTTGGTTGTTTAAAAAAGTTGGCCAGGGACGCAAATATATTATTGTTATAATTATTTTCCAAATAATTAATTTTATTTCTTATTCCAGGTACTTATATAGCGGTGTACAATCTAAGGTCCCTAACTTACATTCATACACATACTAGGTCCCAATTAACCACTTGCTCTTCTGAGTATTTTGCCCCCTTCCTGACCAGGCCATTTTTTGTGTTACGGCGCTGCATTACTTTGACAATTGTGCGGTCATGCAACGCTGCACCCAAATGAAATGTACATCCTTTTTTCCCACAAATTGAGCTTTCTTTGATTGCCTTTGCCTGTGCGTTTTTTAATTTTTTGCGCTATGAAAAAAAAAAGACCAACAATTTTGAGAAAAAAAACTGTATTTTTTACTTTTTGCTATTAAATATGTCCAGTAAAAAAATAAAAAAAATCAAATTTCGTCAGAAATTTAAACCAAAATGTATTCTGCTAATGTCTTTGCTAAAAAAAAATCCCAATACGTGTAAATCAATTGGTTTATGTAAAAGTTATAGCGTTTACAAATGTGGGTATATATACTGGGATTTATTATTTTTTTAAATTTTTACTAGTAATGGCGGCGATCAGCGACTTATAGAGGGACTGCGGCGGTTATTCTGACACTGGGGAGAACTGACTTGGTGTTATCGACATCCCCAGTGACACCAATACAGTGATCAGTACTAAAAAAAAACCCCATTTACATTGTACTAATGGCACTGAGCAGGAAGGGGTTAACATGAGGGGCGATCAAAGAGTTAACATGAGGGGAGATCAAAAGGTTAACTGTGTGCTGGGTGTGTTTTACTATGGGGCCGTGTGTTTGTGCTTCACTGTAAGCACACTGCTTTGTATGGCTGTGCTGTGCACAGCCATCCAAAGCAGTGTGCACGAGCTGACAGGGAGAACTGTTTTTTTTTTACAAACAGTTCTCCTCCTCATCGGAGATCCTTGGCAATCACCGGGCGATGGGGAGTAATCACCGGCCGGGTCCCAGTCATTAACTGTCGCGGCCGCAAATGGCGGCGTGGGTAAGGCGTGCATGTGCCTCGTGCGCGCGCCCCTACCCAGAAATGTAGAATCATGTACATATACATGATTTTGCGCACTTGTGCCGCCCTATAGCAGTATTTCTGCTATAGAGCTATCGGGAAGCGGTTAACCTACCGGCATGTCTAAAGAGACACAATAACTGTGGAGAAAATAAATTAACACAATGATTATAATATGTAGTAACTGACAAATCCTCATTGACTCTCTTTGTTGATTATTTACAAAATGTGGACCAGAGAACCATCTGCTTAATAGCGAACATTTTTCAGTACAGATTGCCATTTACTGTAGAAGTAAACTAGTCCTTTGGGATGCTTACTGGTCTATTTTATTATGGGGTATTGATCTCCTACCATTCACACACCCTTCTAGAGCAAGGGTCCACCAAAAACCATTGCTAAGTGAACGGACCAAAACACTTGCAACATATAATGAAGACATGGGGTTTGGCCCTAAGGGTCATCATCATGATGTAGACTCTGTAATTTGGCAGCAAACAGCTAGGGGTCCTTCTTAATCAGCTGACTATAAGGAATGATTTGCTTAATGGAAATACTCAACTATCCTTGGCTAACTGCCCAATATACTGTGAATCCCAGCTCCAGGAAACCAATTTGCCACCAATATCAAGCTTATTTTCTTCTATACTTCTTATTGGGTAATTCATCAGTGAGAGTTTAATGTGGCATTTGTTGTCTGTCTTTTATGTAGTCTTCATTTTCCAATCTTAATTTTGACTATATTTTTCAAAACTTTCTAGAATGGATACTCTATGTTAATTAAAAAAATACTGGAAGGATCTGACCCTTGTTAAAACCAGGCAACCTTTTCATCTTTAGAAGCCACTTTTAGGAAGAATGTGTGGTTTCATACTTGGATACTGTCAGGAACGTTAGCACTGGATTATCGGTTTAGGCAAGGTGGCAGTTTCCCAGTGAAGGTAAGCTAGGAAGTAAATGGTAGTCAAAAAGACCGAAGTCAATATAACATTAGAAAAAGCATTGTCAGAGAGACTAGACTACGAGGTCAAAGCTAGATGTGCAATGCAGTACAAAAGAGAGCAGACAAAGGCATGGTTAAAAAATTAGGTCCAGGGAGCTCAACAGGTCAGAAGTCAGGATCAGATACAGGTTGATAAAGATTGGATGTGGAAGGTTGTAGGACCAAAACAGACTGAGAGCAACCGGGAAGAAGGAACCAGACAAGCTACAAGATAGAGCCAAAACACGGGGCAGGAAATTCACATTTACAGGGTTCTCAAAGTACATGTGAAAAACTAAACACAAGCAGTAATGGGAATCACACAGAAGCATATCCTAACAAGGGCAACCAGCAACATTTTTCAAGTGCATGCACGGCAAAGCAACATGTTCACGTTAAAGCAACCCTGTCAGTGTAAACAAATCCCAAAAAAAAGGTGACTCCAAGTGAAGAACTCCTATATTCACCTCTCTGGTGGTGCATGTCTCCTATATCCCTTCCAAAGTTCCAGCTCTGCAAACACTATCAGTTTCACTTGAATTCAACGCTTCCAGGTGTGTCACATGCCCATGTCTCCTGCTGTGCATCATGGTTCCATCCCATGAATCTTACATCTCTACAGGACTCCAAAGTGATGTAGGGGTTGAAGGATGGCCCTTGTTCCCTATCATGGTACATGAAGTGTTGAATGTCAATGACTGGGAGGCTGCAGTGCTGGGACTTTTGTAAGAGATTCGAGCCACCAGAGAAGTGCGTAGGAACTTTTTACTTGCAGGGCATCTTTATTTGATTTTTTGTAACAATATTCCAACCAGTAGTAGGTCATACTAACCTTGCGTTCACTTAATCCACAGGTAGTGAATAGAGTTAGCACTGTTGACTCAAAGTTGGAGCTGGTCTGGTGACCAACATTAAAGTGAACCTGTTGCTTTGCCCTGCATAGACTTTCAATTGGTCAGATCAAATTCTAAATATACTTTTAAGAGGATCAACATAACAGCAGCAGCTTACCAGTATGCCAAAAGAAATATGCTAAGAGGATTTACATATCAGAGGTGTGAGCATCTTCATGTATGCTTTTGTGCATTGGGGTGGTGTAAGTGTAAAGAGTCTTTTTTGCTTTACGCTTGTCTTCATATCAGATGTGATTAAATGTGCACTGGAAAAAGAGGATAGCAAACACTGACTGTATGTTAGGCTATACAAGACAGGAATGTGTATATATATATATATATATATATATATATATATATATATATATATAACCCCAACAGATTTGTCAGCAAACCTTTACTTTCCTTTCAGAATCATCATTTTCTATGGGACACTATACTACAAAATACTCCCACAAATGCAGGCCATTGATTGCAAACAAGATTTGTTAATTTGTACACACAAATAACTATTTTTCTTAAATGGTCATTGAACACCATGTTGCAAAAATGAATGCACCCCAATGAAAGTCCTAAGAGCAAAGCTAAATTTTAGACAACAAAATTCTAATTAACAAGAATTCAACTACAGGTGAATCTAATTAACGTATTTTTCGCTCCATACGACGCACTTTTTTCCCCCCAAAAAAAAGGGGGAAAATGTCAGTGCGTCTTATGGAGCGAATATGGAGCGGCCGGTCCGGTATTTCCACCGCCGCCGTGTCAGAATACCGGGCCGGCCGCTCAGCTCTGCAGCGGAACCTTACCTGTTCCTCTATCCAGCGCGCGCACTGTCTTCCCGGCTTCTGTAGTGTGGGCGCTCGGCTTGACAGCCGGGTGCCAAGTGCACATGCGCAAGAAGCGGTGCTGTTTGTGAATGGTAAGGCGGCACCTGGGACACATGACAGGTCCCAGAAGCCGCCGGACCAATCACAAAGTGCAGCGCTTCTTGCTCATGCGCACTGGGCACCCGGCTGTCAAGCCGAGCGCCCACACTACAGAAGCCGGGAAGACAGCGCGCGGCTGGATAGAGGAACAGGTAAGGTCCCGCTGCAGAGCTGAGCAGCTGGCCCGGTATTCTGACACGGCGGCGGTGGAAATACCGGACCGGCCGCTCCATATTCGCTCCATAAGACGCAGAGCAGACACTAACTAAAGAACAATTCCACGGAAGTAAGAGCGGGTAATTGTCAAATTCAGGTACCCGCCCCCCCCTCCCCAAAGGTCAGCAGTCATCTCCTGTACTGTCCGCAGTCTCTGGTCATCTCCTGTACTGTCCGCAGTCTCTGGTCATCTCCTGTACTGTCCGCAGTCTCTGGTCATCTCCTGTGCTGTCCGCAGTCTCTGGTCATCTCCTGTACTGTGTCCGCAGTCTCTGGTCATCTCCTGTATTATGTCCGCAGTCTCTGGTCATCTCCTGTACTATGTCCACAGTCTCTGGTCATCTCCTGTACTATGTCCGCAATCTCTGGCCATCTCCTGTAGTGTGTCCGCAGTCTCTGGTCATCTCCTGTACTATGTCCGCAGTCTCTGGTCATCTCCTGTGCTGTCCGCAGTCTCTGGTCATCTCCTGTCTATGTCCGCAGTCTCTGGTCATCTCCTGTACTATGTCCGCAGTCTCTGGTCATCTCCTGTACTATGTCCGCAGTCTCTGGTCATCTCCTGTATAATGTCTGCAGTCCATTGGTTCAGAATATTTTTTTTCCTGTTTTCTGCCTCTAAAACCTAGGTGCGTCTTATGGTCAGGTGCGTCTTATGGAGCGAAAAATACGGTATTCATTAAACAGGTGTCCAGCAGACAGTTGATTATAAAAGGGCATTACTTAACCGCTTCCCGTCTGCCCTATAGCAGAAATACTGCTACAGGGCAGCACGGGTGCACAAAATCCCATACATTGCATTATTGTATATTTGCATTTCCGGGTTGGGGCACGCGCCCTACCTGCGCTGCCATTCGCGGCCGCAGCTGTCAGTCACCGGGTCCCGGCCAGTGATTACTCACCGGCATCCGGTGATTGCCGGGGATCTCCGACGAGGGGAAAAACTGTTTGTAAACAAAACAATTCTCCTCCCTGTCAGCTCCGGCACACTGCTTTGAATGGCTGTGCATAGCAGTGTGCTTACAGTGAAGCACACAGACATAGCCCTATAGTAAAACACACCCAGCACACAGCCCTTTGATCGCCCAAGATGTTAACCCCTTCCTGCCCAGTGCCATTAATAGTGTCAGTGCTTTTTATTAGCACTGATCACTGTATTGGTGTCACTGGGGATGTCAGTGACACCAAGTCAGTTCTCCCCAGTGTCAGAATGCCCACCGCATAGGTCGCTGATTACTGCCATTACTAGTAAAAAAAAAAAAAAAAAAAAAAAAAAGTATATATATACCGCCATTTATAAATGCTATAACTTTCACGTAAACCAATTAATTTACACGTATTGGGATTTTTTTGAGCAAAGACATGTAGCAGAATACATTTTGGCCTAAATTTATGATGAAATTCGACTTTTTAAATTTTATTACTGGACATGTTTAATAGCAATCTTTTTTTTATAGCACAAAAAATAAAAACTGCACAGGCGAACAAATACCACTAAAAGAAAGCTCCATTTGTGGGAAAAAAAAGAACATAAATTTAATTTGGGTGTAGCGTTGCATGACTGCACAATTGTCAATTAAATGAATGCAGTGCCGTAACGCAAAAAAATGGCCTGGTCAGGAAGGGTGGTAAATCTTCTGGAGGGCAAGTGGTTAACAAAGAAAACCCCATAACATTTCATGCTGTCAGCAATGGCGCCACATGGAAGAGAAATGTCACAAGGCCTGAGAAAGAAAATAATTTCTTTTCACGTGAAAGGTGAAGGCTGCAAGAAGATCAGCAAAGCTTTACTTATCAGTTAGAATATTGTAGCAAAAGCGATACAAAAATGTATCAAAGATGGAACTGAAACCATCTCGCAGAGATGTCCTAGTTCATCCATGGACATTAACACCTCGACAGGAGCGTCTTCTATTGAGAAGGGTTGAAGAAAATTGTCCTGAAAGTTCACTGCAGTTAGCTAAAGAAGTAGGAAGCCAAACTGGGGAACTGCAGAGGAATGGCGTGTATGA